GTTAGTGTTCATAAAAATATAGCAGTCATTGTACTGATCACCATCAGCAGATAAATTATTTTTATTTACAAAATTATTATTTACAATATCTACAGAAGATTTACTACTAGAACTCGATGACATTATGTTCATTTTTTTTGCTGACCTACATTTGAATTGTAATCCTTGTAAATTAGATAGAATTTCTTCAGCTACAATATTTGATGTTTTATGTTGGTTTCCTCTGAAAAATCTATGTTTTTTGCTATACCTTATTTTATTTGTTTTATCTTTATTTCCTATTATTTTAATAATTATTTAACCAAGGTATGATCCAAGGTAAGAACACAGAGAATAAGACAAAGATTGATGTGGTTGTTGTTAAGTAATTAGACATATAGTGAAGAAATCCGTTAATAACCATGTAACATACAGCACCAAAAACATTTATTATTAAACAAAAAGTAGTTTTAGAGTAGCAGTTGCCACACATGTAGTTTTTTTATGAATTTTTATGGTATTTTGAAAGATAACTTGCTTTTTAGCTACATAGCAACGGAATAAACAATTCGTTGCTATGGAAAATTTTAAAAATATCCTAAACCGCATTATTAAAAATTGGTTTTTAATAGGGCTAGCTTTAATTTTATATAAAACTAATTCGAAATTCCTAATCTACAATAATTATATTAATTAAAAACTTTAAAACTGAAAAAACGATTTTTTTGATTTTTAATAGTGGTCTACCACCTTAAAGATTCGGTATTATTTGGAGATAAAAGTGATAAATGGGTGTGTTATGACATATTTGACATTTTATAGAATGTCGAATTACAAAATTACAAAAAATAATTACAAAAAAGGCCGATATTTAAATTATCAAATAAAATTTTAACAACTGCGCTAAGTTTTGGTAAAAATATATACATTCTATATACTTGGTCTTATTGCCCCCCCCCCTTTATTTTTTGTGTGTAATTTTTTTTTTAACTTCTTACCAGTCTTCAGTGCCGGGTCATGGTGGGGGAAGGGGGGCTAGAGGGAACTGTAGCCCCGGGCTCCGCAAATTTAGGGGTCCCAAAATTTTAGAGGACCTTTTTTTTTTAAGTCATTTTTAGGCTCTGGCCCATAAAAAGGCCTCCAAAAATAAAATAGCCCCGGGCCCCAAGAAGTCTTAATCCGCCATTGCCAGTCTTGGTACTATACAAAACTTTTTTTTTTCCGAATAAAATGTTATGCTTCCTATACAAATATGTTGTCTGTCACTATAAAAAAAAATCTGGAATTTCATAATATTCATTTATTTCCATAGAAAAATATGTAAGTTAATGAAAAAAGTGGTCTTAATGCCTTCCTTTGCCCTACATACATACATACATATACATATGTACATATGTAGGTAAAGCTGCAATTAAGCGCCCTAAAATAATTTTATTTTTTTGCTTGTTGCGCGAGGGAGTGTTGCTACATCGACTAGTTTATAGCCTGCTCCTACACGGAAGTGCTACTACATCGACTGATAGTTTGGTAGAGGCAGCAATCTTTTTTCTTTTATTATTTCAATTAATATTCCTATTGTTTATAAAGCTTCTTCTGACGAGAGCGGAACAAGCGAGAAAATAAAATTATTTTGGGCGGCTTATCTGTAGGATTACCCTTATGTATACATATATATACACACAAATTCATACATACATACATTCATACATACACATATGGATACACATATACATTCTATACAAATATACATATACATACACACATATTCATATACTTATTTTTTAGTGTCATCTTGCATTTTCATGATAAACTCTTTTACTTGTTTAATAAACATATTTCTATTTACTTATTTGATAGATATTTTAATTTCACTAGGTAAGGAGTTCCAGAAATGAATTGAATGATTTTTTATTGATTTGATACCATATTTATATGTCTGCTTTGATGAGATTGATGATTTAAATATAATTTAAAGTTCACTTAGGAATAATACAGAAAAATAAACTGGTCAAAAATATAGCACATAGTATGTAGGTACGTGCGTAAATTCGTAATTTGCCGTAAAAACGCAAGCTAAAATCTGTGACCCGATTTTTGTAATTTGGCCAAGACACGTATTAGGGCAAACGACACTGTACCGCTAATTATGAACCAATTTTTTTGAAATTTTTCACGTAGTTAGGAAAAAGGTTTGTCTAAATTTTGATACATTTTTACACTACTTTACAAAAAAAAAGCATATATATTTTTTCATCATAAGTTGGCACATTTTTTCTATGAATCACAGCTCTGTAAATTATGGCAGGTACTTTATGAAACTTTAAGGTATTGTAGATCATTTATTTGTCTAATATTGGTACAATTTTCATATTAATCAGGTGTAGCGCACATTGGTTTTGGGTTTCCCCAAGCACCCTAGGTATTTTTATGAAATGCTGGATTTCTTGCCTTGTTACGCTGCGTTCGCATTTTTTCATTTCTTGTAGTCACATGATAGTTTTTGAAACTCCGATTGGTGCAAAATGCATATTATTAACTTGCTGTTTTTTTATAAACAACCTTGTGGCATTTGTGGATTCTTAAAAAGAATCCTTTTTGAATCTTTTGAAGATATATAATTTTTTAGTTATACTTTTAGTTGTATTTTTGATTATTCTTTCAAAGTATTAAATTATTTTTATCGAATATTTGCATCATTATTTACTCATTAAATAATTAATCAAAATATATTTTTTTGCTAGACTATTGCAATAGTAATTAAATTATATTAAAATTAATTTAATTTTAATAGTTTGTTAAATAAATTACATTAATTATTATATACTGTATAGAATTATAAATAGTTATATATTATATTTGCTTTGTTATTCTATAAGTTATGAACGTCTACAAAAACTCTCCTTCAAAAAGGGTAACATGTTAAACATGTCAAGAAGGGTAACATGTTAAACATGCAGCATTAATATTATTAAACATTTTACAATAAAATTTAGTGAATTATTTACTATATTTATTTTATTCTCTATATTAAATAAATATAATTTATTTATTTACTGCTTAGTGCTCTAAATAATATAATTAAATTTTTATACTTGTACCTAGAGTTTTTAAAATGTAAAGAAATGTTTAATGATGAATCATTTGAAATCAGAGTATCTTAAACTACCTTTTTCGTATCAGGTATGTCTTATAGGACATGTTTTACCTGTATACTTTTAAAATAAATGTTCAACAACTGAAACTCCGCATCGTACAACTGTGGAGCAGATGATGCGTGAGCTTGGAGTTCAGATCTGCAGACTGTTGAAATAGCTATTGCAACAAAAATTATGACCTCGAGCTTTGATGCTACTACACAAGAGGGTTGCCATATAAATACTGTGCACTTTACAACCAAAACACGATGCATGGTTGTGGCTATTGACCAACTTGCTTGGGGTACAGCTAATGATTATCAGAGTCATATTACACATTCTGTAGATCACCTTGCTAAGATGTATAGTAATTTTTACGAGCAACAATATATTGAAGTACGAAGTACAATTATTGCTAATATAAGTAATATTAAGATGAGTGTATAGTAATATAAGATATAGTAATTATTCCTAATATAAGTAATATAAGAGTGACCGAGTGGTAGAAAACCATGCAACTATCACTAAATTAAATACTTAGTGGCAGTAATCGTTAAACAGTTACTAAACTTCCATCTTCACCCATTGGATACAATGACCTCTGCTGGCATAAGTCTTCACTTAAAGCATTGGAAACATTAAAAGGGAAACTGTTTGGCAGGGATTGTATTGCAGCAAACATTGTTATACAGCTTAACAAACTACGCTACAAGGGCGGTTAAGATAAATTAACCATTTACTCTAAAAAATATCTAACAAAGTATCAGAAGCCTTAATTTAACATATTTTTCTTCTCTATATTATATATATAACTTAGTTTTTTTGCTTAAAGGTGATCCGAACTGTTTTTAATCATTTACTAAAAGTCAAAAAATAAGTTATAAATTAAAACATAATTTTTTATGTCATTGCCGTTTTTTAAATTTAGCGTTATTATTAGTTCACATAAACAATCGCATTATGTAAGTTTCTTATTTATTATACACATGTATACATTCTCTTTTCTTTTCTTTTTTTTTAGCATTTAGAGCATTTAAAAGCAGCATTAAATTTAAAGTTTTAAGATTTGGAAGGAGCGTATTCTACCACTTTTTATAATGCTAGTTTTTGTTTTTAAACTTTTTTTATGTGATAGATGGGGGGGGGGGGTGACGCCCCACATCCTATAATTTATTTATGTCACTAATATATAATTTAATAAAATATAATTTTTATTATGTATTATTTTATATATTAGTTCTATTATTTACTTTTTTCATTCATTTTAATAATGATAAAAATATTTATTAGAATGAATCTTTCGATATAGGGTGTGTTTTACAAACATATACATTTTTGATATAGGGTGTGTTTTACAAACATATACATTTACAAACATAAACTATTTTACAAACATATACATTTTTGTATATGTTTGTAAAATAGTTCATTTCTAATATAAACAATGAACAAAAATTTTAATTTTATGTGCACAATTTAAATGACTAATGTAAACGCATTTAAAAATACAGTACCTCTCAACAATATAATTAATGCATACATAATTTGACATGACAATCTTATTTTAAGAAGTTGTGTTATAATTTTGACCAGTAATTTATATATATGATGTATATATTTTTTATTTGGATTATTTGTGACAAAAAGAAAATGATTTAAAAAAAAAATTGCCAAATATTCTCAGCAGTTTTAAACTTAAAGTAAATTCTGCTCTGTTCCCTACAAATTAGTAGAATTCCATACATGTGCATTGTTTAAGTCTTTTTAGTATAATATAGAGTTAATAAGAATTTTCTATAATATAATAGGAAATAAAGTTGAAATTTTTTGAAACCTAATCAAATAGATTTAGAATGAAGTTAAACACAGTTGTTTATTATTAAAATATTATTGATTAAAATTTTGTAAATAAAATGATCTGTGTGACAAATGTTTTATAATGATCTGTTTGACAAATGTTTTACACATTAAAGATTTTATTCAATGTAGTAACTTATTAATGGCATCGAGTACATCCTCCCAAGTTCATCCGGCTCCACTGGCTCCTTCTTCGCAAGCATGTCAGCAAACATTAACAGATACAGATCCGTTAGTAAAATATCAAGGACTTTTACCACTTTTAAGAGAGTCTGTAATGGTATTTTTTTTAATATTCTCTACTTATATTTAATTATTCTAAAAGAGTTAAAAGTTGTTTAAAAATTGTTTTGGTGCTAAATTGGGTAATTTGAGGATTTTCATAAATAATCTCACAAATTTGAGTGATAATAAAAAAATTGCTATAGCTGAGTTACCCTAAAAATATTATAACCTATTATCTGTGTTTATTTGATAATTACGGTCTTTGAAGATTAAAGGTGTTAAAATAATTAAGATATGAGGTTTAGGAGCTAAATAATAACTGTCTCTCCAGACCATTAGAACAAAGTGTTGGTTAAATGTGGATGCATGAGTTTTACAAGGGTGTCTTCATTATCTTCATCAACTTCTAATACTAAGCCAACCCACTTAAGCATCTCATATTTGCAAATATAATTTTTTCCTGCTATGTTTTCTTGAAGATATTGTATTGAGTCAGTTAAATGTTCCTTCTACTCAGAGACTCTTTTGACATAAATATTTGTTGCATTTGACTTTTTTGACATAAATGTTTGTTGCATCTTGTGAAATAAATTGATGTTAACTTCTTGTACCATGTAATATTTTTGCATTATTAAATCAGATGTCAAAGATTTATGGACTGAAAAAATATCTTAGCCTTTTAAAATTAAAATTTATCTTAGAAATTTATCTTAAGGTATTATCTTTAGAAAACTAAACATTTCTTCCAAAATTTGCGTATTGATCGGACATTGAAGACTAGCATTAGTAACAAGTCTTTCAATAACTTTCCCACCAATGCTATCACATAGCAACTTTTCTGATGTTGCTAAGAAGTTTTATTTGAATAGTATCCCACAATTTTTAGCATGTTGGCATAAATTTAAAAAAAACTTGCAATTTTTGTACTGATCATTTCAAATATGTCAGTTCTTTTCTATATACAATAATAAAATCCAACATTGTGTATATAAGAAAGTAGTTATTTGTACAAAATACTTCCTTATATAAATGATGATAATCATGATAATAACCTGAGTTGCTGTTGGTTTCAGTAATAATTTTAAATTTTGCCTTGTATGATAAATTTGAAGTTTTTTGATCAATCAATCAAAACAATAAGTTCATTTGGAGGTATTGATGACTTCAATTTATCAAAATCTTTATGACTTTAGCAATAATAGAGTGACATGTTATGGTATCAAGCTTGTCACGAAGATTTTTAATAAATTCACCAACTGTAGATGTGTAACTAAAAAGCTCTTAAAACAATTTTTTTAGTAAGTTAATTTTAATTCTTCTCCAGATCCCCACCATGTCCCTGGTAACACACTCAACTTGTTTCTCTGCGCAGCGGCCTTGTTCGTCAAGGTTTGTGTTTCAAAGTTATAGAGTTAAGAGAGGGTTATAACCACAAATAAGTAGCCTCCTCGTCTGCAGTGGCCTTATCGGCCTTGAGGAGGTGAATTAAAAAAAAAAAAAAAAGATAACTCCACTAAACATAAGCTTTAGATTTTGGCAAATTGTACAGTTACATAAATCATGGATTCGATTTGGACATTAATAGATAATCTGTTTTGACTATAACTGTTCAAATTTGGAAATCTTATTTTAAACTGAGTGTTCTATTTTGAATTCAACAAATAGTTTATTTAAATTGGAAGTTTTAAACACCAAACACAAATCAAAATTCATATTTGTTGAATGAAAGTTCATGTTTGGACACTTACGAAGTTCTTTATACCTGGCAATTGCTAACTAAATTAATCATTGTATTATTTCTATATTGATTCTAACAATATTTATTTTTTCTGGGAGTATTAATACTATTTTTTCTGGGAGTATAAATATTCTTTTTTCAAATCAAAGTTTCAATGCTTTAGCTATGGTTGACTTTGATGTATTAAACAGCTTAACTGCTTTTCTCTAAGGCAATGAATTAGATAGTAAAGTCAAAACCTGAGTCTTTTCCCTTGTATTGATCATGCCAATTCTATTTGCCACACAACTGTTTTAATTGAGAATTAACTCAGCAAAATTTAGAAGATTATGTACAAATCTTATTATGGTGTTTTGTTTCCAGTTTTTTTAAACTTAAAATAATTATTTTTCTTGCCACAACAAGGATAAAAAAAGGGTTGATACTTTTTTGGTCAACTAATTTAATCACCTCCATTGAAAAATTTCAATAGAACATTTTTACTCCAAAAGTTTTACCACTTATTTTTCGAATTATTTTTTATTTTTCTGCATGCGTTTTACTTTTTAAGATACCTTTACGATAAAGAAAAAAAATTTTTTTTTTTTATTTCATTATCTTTTTTTTTTTTTTATCTTTTTTTAAGTTTAATGACTCACTAAGTTCAAAAGTTTAAATAGGGTGACCATTGTCTCAATTTTGACATAGGGTGACCATTTTGCATGACCATTGCCTCAGTTTTTATTTAGGGTGACTGATATCCTAATTTTAAATAGGAGTGACCATTGTTATAATTTTTACATAGAGGACAGGGCAAAACATAATTCAGATTAAAATATTTCTATTTTTTTATGTAATAAACAAGCCAATTGTTACCTAAGTATAAGAAATTCCTTAAAAACTAATTTTTCTAACAAATCATTAATAATTTTAAGTTGAGTTTTCAAATTTCAAACTTATTCAAAATTATTCTAAAAAAAAGAGATCTTTTTAATTACTTTAATAATAAGAGAGTTTTATAAAATAAAAGATAAGATAAAAATTATAAATATGCATATTTATTAATTTGAATAAAATCTTAATTATTAAAAAATTAGTTTTTAAAATTTAAATTAAATAAATACAATTCTTAAGGTATTGAACTTATTCATTTTTTTATTTCAATTGTTAAACTTATTTATTTTTTAAATTTAAATATATATAATTTGTTGTGCTTTTAGTAATTTAGTAATTTAGTAATTCAGTAATTTTGTTACATTTTCATATTTGATAACATTTTTATCCACAAAGAACCAGAGAAATGAATGAACTTTAATAAAAATAGAAAGAAGTACAATAAAAAATATTATAATATAATCAACTATAATATTATAATATTTTATATAAATAATTTAATATAAATAAAACAGTAATATAAAAATAAACCAAAATTGAACTCAAAAAGTTTGGTAAAATATTAGGGTGGTTGAATAATGATTTTTGATAAAAAAGGAAACTTGATTGTTAGGTTGATGAAAATGAAACAATGGTTTTCTCCATCTTATTTCCAAAGTATGTAATAAAACATAATGATTTTCTTCATTATATCTCCAAAGTTTAATGCGATTCTCTTCTGTGACAGCATAGAACATTCAAACTTTAATGTGAATCTTTTCTGTGATAGCTTGTAGCTAACAGTGACAAGCAAATTTTAAATCAAGCTAAATTGCTTACTGTAAATTACTATCAATGAAGTTGTTATTGCTGAATTAATGAAAAGCAACAAACTTACTTTACAACACAATGCAACAATCTCTACTTAACACCTACAATACAACACCTCTGCCTTATAATAAATACTTTGAGTTTTCAGGGAAACTATATAATCAATCCATTACAAAATTAGCTTTATAATGCTTCCCATTTTTTACTGATTACATTCTCTTCCTCTATAAATCTTGTTTTTATACAATACTGCTATTATATTTGACTTTTTTTTTTTATACAAAAACAATGTAAATGTAGTTAGGCTAATGGATCTGATTTAGCTGTTAGGCTTAAGTCACTGTTATCTTTTTTTTCCTGCAAATTAGTTGTAGTTGTAATAGTTGCTGCTCAAGTAATCTATTGTTCCTTGTTTGGCCGAAATGAATTTTGTGTGAATTTAGAATATTTAGAAAAGTGGATCTTTTTACTCTAAGCAACTTTTATTCATTTAGGTTTTTTCCTCCAATATCTAATAGTTTCAAATAATTAAAATTTACTTATGATGTATACTGAGTATACTGATTATCCTTGAACATCGTTTTAAATTATTGATTTTCATTATAAAATGAAATTTTATAGGGCTGTTAAACTTGCTTTAGGGCAAAATTGATATTTATATCGAAAGTTAAAGTCGAAAGTTTTTTATCTCAAAAAGCTGATGGGTAAGAGATACATAAATATAGGGAATCAATAGGATATTAGAATAAGAAAAAAAGAAGTAAGGTACCAAGAGGTCATAGCAAATGCTAATTTTATGAAGGATTTGTTATATAGTTAAGTTATAAGGTTGCTGTGTAGTGAAAGACAATTGCTACATAAGAATTACTTAGTTTAATCCCCAACATGTTTATCCTTAACATGGTTCTGTATGTAGCAGATTTGTTTATCAAGGTTTGCATTTTAAAGTTAATATGTTGATAGAGGATTCTAACAACAATTTGAAAAAAAGTTTTCTCGACTGTAGTGAACCCCTTAGTCTCAAGAGGTGAATATAATGAAAATTACATATATATATATATATATATATATATATATATATATATATATATATATATATATATATATATATATATATATATATATATATATATATATTAGGGTGATGCAAAATTTGTAGATTCAAAACTTTAGTTGTCCTCAAGCTTGCCCTTGTTCTATATGACAATAGTAGTTATTGGCCAAAATTTGAATCAAATCGGATGATATTTAGGGGTTGCCATGTTTTGTCACATTTTGGTATAAGGTTACAAAAAGTAAAAAAAATATTTTTTATTTTTACATTTTACAATTTATTTTACATTATTTTACAATTTATTTACATTAATTATTTTACAATTATCAATTTCTTATTATTATGTGGTGGATTGTGGATGTTCAATGTTAAAAAAATCAATACTATAGTACTACTATGTAATTGCACTAGGCAATAATAAATCAATCATCTTCATCATTCAACAGTCATCTTCATCAGGGTAGACTTTGATGCAACTGGAAATTCCTTCCGGTGAAGATCAACCAATCTAAGAAGAAACTGCTTTTGGTTTTCATCTTTCGTAACGCTTGAGTTAAAGGATGTTATAAGTGCTATGCCTCGTTCCGCGCAATCGTTGACGACTTTCATTTGACCAACCTTGTGCTTCATTTCAAGATATGTTGAATCCATTTCCCACTCTGAAGATTCTTTCATTAAAAATGATTCAGCTTTTTCTTTTCCATTTTTCAAAATTAGATCGAAAAGTTCTGCGGTGCGTTGTGTGACAAAGGAAGGCAATGGGCTGTGACAATCGAATGTGGCAGCATCAAGTCTTTTGAGAGATTTCTGCCTTGGCTGTTGTTTCAGGTTGTTTGCCATGTCTCTCTTGGTGTTGTTGTCGACACAGGAATCGAAGAAAGCCAATCCTATTAGATGTTCAGAAAAATACCAGAGGTGGCGATGAAAAGCTTTTGCTGCATTAATTGCAATTGTACGATTTGGATATTCTTGAATCCGTTGAAGAAGCTTGGCATCATTGAATGGTGCTCGTTCAGCTAACGGAGCTTCATTCTAAAACTGTCCGTATACAAATGCCACAAAAAGACTTATATCTGTTATTCCTTTCTTTTCCTTTGCAGTAATAACAAATTGATCCTGAAACAAATATATCTTTATACAATATATAGCTTTTGCCATCCAACGTGCATTGTGTGTTGCACCTGGAGCCCGAAACTTCACTTTGAACTCCGATGTTGTAGTTGATCCTCCAAGAAAAATAAGGCACAAATTCAAGAGTTCTAAGTAATCATCCCTGGATTGTTGACCTTTAATTGCTTCACTATAATATACTACCATTTCTTCACGGAGTTTGAGAAAAAAATCGCAGTTATAAAATTCTTTATTCCCTATAGTGAACACCTCCTTGTTGATTGCTGGCCATTGTTTCTGGAAACGGTTAAAAATTCCAACTTCAGGTCCTCCACTGGTTCCAAATGCAGTTGTGAAAATGGTGGAAAGCATGACTTCAAACATATGGTGCCTGCATGCTATCTATATAAGATTATGGTCAAGATTCTGCTCCATTATTGTGCAGGCACCAATGTTCAACCCAGTGTTAGATGAAGTAGTGTCAAAAACCAGTCCCCGAACAAGTTCTTTCAATTTCCAGTCTTTAAGAGCCTTCATGCAAGCATCAGCCTGTTGCTCACCTGTACCTCGATCAATCTTTGGAACGCCCAGCAATTTTTCCACCCCACCACCAGTCACAAGGATGGCAATTCTATCCACTTTTTTTTGACCACCAGTGATATCAGGTAAGAGCTTTCCATCCCAATGCAGAAGAAGTGGATCATCAGGAGAGAAATCAACCTTGTCAGCTGTAGTCACCGCTTCACGAACAGATCGCCTTTTTCTGCGGATTGTGCTGTACGACAATGATAAATCTTTTACCGAGTGACCAAGAGCCTGAGACACTGTTCCAACCACGAAGAGTGCACGGCGATCAGAAATATTAACACGATCAAGAGATGATACAACATTATTTGTTAGAACTTTCATCTTCTTTTTCGTTGTACCACTTGTGCTCAGTGTGCTGGAAGCGGAAGGAGTCTGATATACATCATCATCCAAGGAACTAGAGCTACTTTCACTCACAATGTCAACTGCTGATGAAGAAGAAATGAGTTCTGTTTTTTCCATCAGTTCCGCTTGACTTCTTTGACGCCTCAATTCCATTTTAGTTTCTTGGACTCGTTTCCGTGCCTCCCTAGCTCTTAAATTCCGATCAATTCCTGCCATACTACAACTTAATGGATCTTCTTGCTGCTGACGTAAAAATGCTTTATCTTCATCGTTTTTCATAACTTCTGATGCATTCTTGGTTGAAATATCAAAAAGTTCTTCAAGGTCAGCGTGGAAAATTCCTTCTTTCATTTGACAGCTGTCCAATTTTGATCCTCAGTGTTTTTTCAGCAGCAGATATTCGTCATAAAGTTTTTTTAACTTTCTTTCCGCATTGTCAATTCTTTGAGTTGGAATTTTTCCTCTCTCCCATATAACAAGAACTGCTTCAATTGTTGCCCGAATACTTTTTTTCACTTCTTGTTTCTCTTCTATATGATTGAAGAGCAACCTCCGAAGAACATCCCCTCTTGAAGGAAGTCTGGCAGTCGACAGAGTTTGTGTAGGTTTACCAACAAGCCACACCTCAGCAGAAGATCTAGTGGTTGCCATATTATCAATTTCTAAATTATAAATAAATAAACAATGAAAAAACAAATTTGCGAAATTTGAAAAAATCACAAAATTTTACCAATAGTTAATTCATCTTATAAAACATGGCAACCCCTAAAATTGCTTCTTTTAGTCTAATTTTTGGTACACATGATCCTAGGTGATAAAGGAACACAGGCAACCTTGAGGAGAATGTTTTTTGTGACATTTTTTTTTTCTATTACAATCTGAATCACCCTAATATATATATAGATGTTAGTAGTAAAAGCTATTCTAACAAACACATTTTAGCAACTGGTTACTTTTATTTAGAAATTTTTTGACTAAGCTTTTATTATTTGGTTAAGTCACAAGTTCATTGAACTTTTTAACAGTTAAAATAACTTTCACATTTGTGGCTTGATTAGATAATTTTAGATTGTAATCAGACAGTATCTGACACTGATTGTTAAAGCCCTGACCAAAGAAGACATAAAAGAGAAAAACTCATTGAGTATGTATAGGATTATATACATAGATTATACATTGATGATATAGGTTTTTTGCAAAATAATTGAGTTTTATGACACCAACACCAACCTTGAAATGATTGCAGAAGAAAAATCAAGATTAGATGATTATTGATTAGTTGATTATTCTTTATCATAGTTTCATATCATAAGATAATCAATCATCATAATACAATCAAATTGCAGAAAAAAGATAAAATTCAAGTTTAGTTAATTATTGATTTGTTTTTAATAACCACATTTATGTAATATCTTTACACATTTTAATAACCAAATTTGTGTAATATTTTTATTTAGAATTTAATTCGACATACTGTTTATGTTTTACAAAATACTGCAATTGGACAATGCAGGTATTGTTTTTTCTTTAATACTGTAATTGTGCAATGGAGATGATGCAGGTATTTTAATAAAAAGTTTTATTATTAGGAAACAGGTATTTAAAAAGAAAAGAATATATTTTAAGTAGTATTTTTTAAATTTAATTTATGTAATTTATTTTGTCAAATTGTTATTTTAAATAAATTTTTTTTTTAATTTTTAGACAAACTGATGTTCAAATGTTGAATAAATGCATGGAGGATTTTTATAATATTAGCGACCAAGTACATCAATGGCTTGTAATCCTTTTTTTTCTTTTTTTCTTTTTTTTTTTTACATAAAATTTACTACATTTTTATAGTGTAATTGTTAATTTTTAAAGTTTTGCTATTTTTACTAAATTAACATATAAATTTATTTTAACATTATAATTTTTTTAACATTTAAATTTGTTTTAATCATGGCCTACTTAAAGAAAAGCCTAATATTCCGCATTTTTGCCGAAAAGATAAAAGACCGTTGAAAAAATAAAAACTCTATAAAATCAAAGCAAACAAACAAATAAGAAACATTTTTATTCTTGAAACTACTTTTTGTTCAGCAAGAAGTAAATTATTTTCTAACAGAAATTACTTTTTTTTTCAATAGAAATAAATTTTTGTTTAATAAAAATTGACTTAGCCCAAAATATATAGATAAATATTTTGTTATTCCACATTAATAAAAACATCTTATATTAACTTTATATTTATATTAACTCTAAAAAAAGCTACTGAGCAGTTGTTCAGAATAACAAATCAGTATTGATAACATTCAAATTAAAATAAAAAATAGAAAAAGATTCACAAGCATAAGTTGTCAATATATTGTTTATCTGTTAACTAAACCATTTTTAAACCTTTTGCTATGTAACCTGTGATATGGATATGGAAGATAGGTTTTTATTATTTTCTTTAAATTTTTTTAGATTTAACACTTTATTTTTAAGTTTTGAGGTTTTATATAAATCTGCTGTTAAAATAATTTTCTGTTTAACTGTAACATCATCTTTGAATTTAGTAACTCAAATTGGGAAAGTCTGTATAGTTTATCATATTTTAAAGTAAATCCACAACTCCATAAAATAAACTTTTTATTTTTAAGCCATTTTTATCTTCTAATAGCAATAAATTATATCTTTAAAAATTACTTGCATGATTATTGCACATTAAGCTTGCACACCAAAAGTACTGTTAAAAAAAAAGTCAAAGTTTCAATGGTTTCATTTCTCAATCAATTACAAAAAATTTTTATAACTGAGGCAGTTTTTATTATGTACGGAATGTTCTTATTATTTAATAAATATTCTAAAATATTTTCTACCATATACCATTTTCTAAAAGTTTAGACCTGTTTCACCAGAGTATTTTGTATATTTCTGTATATATATCTTCAAATATGTAGCAGATATCTTGCAATATTTGGGCCACTTTTGAGTAATATTTTTGCATATTGTATTGCACCAATATTACCAAAATGTATTTTCAATAAAGAAAGCAATGGAAAATCTTCCAAAGAAATTTTTAATGGTGATATAATGCATGCTTTATTTTTATTATTTTTTTTAAGTTCTTCAAAAGCCAAAACAAACCAAAAAAAAAAAAAAAAAGAGATTTTGCATGATTATGTATGTAAGTAGGAAAGTGTTTAAACATACATATCAGGGCATTTTTATGACTATAAAAAAACACTGTGTAAAGATAATGGGCAACTCTTGTAAAATATTTTCATGTAATCTCTCAGCAACTTGTATATTAATCTCAATAACTTATGGTATGTAAACAAGAACTTGTGGTATTAAAGAACTCAATATGTGGTATTAAGTATTTCAATAACTTCTGGTATTAAACAATAACTTGTAAAATACAACATGGTAATTAAGTTTTATTATTTGGAAGTCTTACAAACCATAAAATTAAGTTTTAACATTTGGAAGAATTACAAACCATAAAAAGTTACAAAAGGTTTTGGCTTCCAAAACCTTTTGTACCTTTTTATGGTTTGTAATTCTTCATTGACATTAAATGAAAATACTGTCACTACATCTTGTTTTAAATCATTTAATAAACACCCAACAAGACAAAATTTAATATTCTTTGTTCTACTAACAGAACTTTTAATTTATAATGTACACTTATTGCACTTTCATTCAAAACCGCAAAAAAACTTGCTTTCTATTTTTTCAGCAAAAATTCAGATTATTAGGCTGTATACTTTAAGTAGGCCGTGTTTTAACATTTTATTTTTATTTAACACTTAAATTTGTTATAACACTCAAATTTGTTTTAACACTTATATTTGTTTTAACACTTATATTTGTTTTAACATTCAAATTTGTTTTGACATTTAAATTTGTTTATTTTAATTTACTAATTTTGCATCACTTTGTGATGCAAAATTAATTTACTAATTTTGCACACATTTTTTTTCCTACATTACTTTCTTTTTTTCTACTTCAGTCTCTTTTTTTCAAAAAAAATTTTCAGATCACTATTTTACCTGTTATTGAACCAAAATATGATCTACAATATATGGCTGACCAATCAAAATATGATCTATAACATATGACTGACCAATCAAAATATGATCTATAACATATGACTGACCAATCAAAATATGATCTACAACATATGAATTACCAATCAAAATATGATCTACAACATATGACTGACCAAACCAAGATTTGCAACATATGACTGACCAAACCAAAATCTACAGCATATGACTGACCAAACCAAGATCTGCAACATATGACTGACCAAACCAAGTTCTACAACATATGACTGACCAAACCAAGATCTACAACATATGACTGACCAAACCAAGATCTACAACATATGACTGACCAAACCAAGTTCTACAACATATGACTGACCAAACCAAGATCTACAACATATGACTGACCAAACCAAGATCTGCAACATATGACTGACCAAACCAAGTTCTACAACATATGACTGACCAAACCAAGATCTACAACATATTACTGACCAAACCAAGTTCTACAACATATGACTGACCAAACCAAGATCTACAACATATGACTGACCAAATCAAGGTATAACTGTCAGGAATTAACAGCTATAAAGCTAAATGTATCAATCCAGTTTTTTCCTGTACATAACTAAATGAAAATAACTTTTTGATATTTTGATTTCAAAAATATTATAAATTTAATAAGTATCTGCTAAGGTAACTTCTCCTTATCGTACTTGCCATTTCCTTTTCCTTCTAATTTCATTTCAGACCTTGCCCACCTGTCTCTATCATTGTTGTCAACTGGTTCTGTTGTTGTTCACTCATTATTGTTGTCAACTGTTTTTGTTGTTGTTCACTCATCATTGTTGTCAACTGTTTTTGTTGTTGTTCACTCATCATTGTTGTCAACTGTTTCTGTTGTTGTTCACTCATTATTGTTGTCAACTGTTTCTGTTGTTGTTCACTCATTATTGTTGTCAACTGTTTCTGTTGTTGTTCACTCATTATTGTTGTCAACTGTTTCTGTTGTTGTTCACTCATTATTGTTGTCAACTGTTTTTGTTTGTTTTTACTCATTATTGTTGTCAACTGTTTCTGTTGTTGTTCACTCATTATTGTTGTCAACTGTTTTTGTTTGTTTTTACTCATTATTGTTGTCAACTGTTTCTGTTGTTGTTCACTCATTATTGTTGTCAACTGTTTTTGTTTGTTTTTACTCATTATTGTTGTCAACTGTTTTTGTTTGTTTTTACTCATTATTGTTGTCAACTGTTTCTGTTGTTGTTCACTCATTATTGTTGTCAACTGTTTTTGTTTGTTTTTACTCATTATTGTTGTCAACTGTTTCTGTTGTTGTTCACTTATTATTGTTGTCAACTGTTTTTGTTTGTTTTTACTCATTATTGTTGTCAACTGTTTTTGTTGTTGTTCACTCATTATTGTTGTCAACTGTTTTTGTTGTTGTTTACTCATCATTGTTGTCAACAGTTTTTGTGAGTTTTTGCAATAACAATTATCTCAATATTTTTGATTGACAACAATATTGATGAATGGCAACACTCTTACTGAGCTCTTTATCACTCATTACTTATGGAAGCTGTAGATGCAATTTATTGTAAAGTTAGTATCTGCTAAGGTAACTTCTCCTTATCGTACTTGCCATTTCCTTTTCCTTCTGATTTCATTTCAGACCTTGCCCACCTGTCTCTTGTTTTGTCTCTGTATGGCATACTGTTTTTATATTCTTCTAAAGATGTCCTTTCTCTTCTTGACAAGATTTAAAAACATATTGTTAATGTAATTGTATATATATGATATCTATATGTATATAAGTGTATATAATATATATGTAATAATAATAATAATAATAATAATAATAATAATAATAAAATTGAGCTATTGCAAAAATGGTGACCAAATGAAAATGATCAACAATGACAGTTGAATATAAAATTTCATATTCTTTTCAAATGTTTTAAATGTCAAACACTGTTTAATAAAAAGTATTCTCTCACAGTGATTAAAGTGAGCTGTTTGAAGCCATTCCCTATTTTCCTTAACTGACTCAGCTGGTCCAGTATAATTAGATCAATTGCTAGGCTTGTTTGGTGGGTGCATCCAAGATGTAATACCTCATCCTTGCTTTCTTCTAAGTTCCAATTTACATCTGCTCATGTGCTTCAAGCTTTGTTGGATAATGAGTAGGGTTAATCAAACTTCATATTTTTTTCCCTTAATAAATAGCATAATTTGGTGGCTCTTGTTGTACTTGTTTGATTACTTTTTCATCATATATGTGGATAGGAGCCCATGCAGGCAGGCCATACTCAAGTTGAGGCCTCACGAACATTTTATAGAGTATTTTAAATATTGAGAGGTTCCGGTATCATTTTATTGATTGAAGCAATTGTTGCACTAGTTTTGACTGCTACATGCTTTGATTGTACCATTGAAGTTCCGAGTTCTTGGCTGCTAAACACTAAGTATATTTGTTATCTTGCTTTTGTATTTGTTATGATAAATTTTGTATTTGTTATGATAGATTGTTGTTTTGAAAAATTTGTCAATATTTTATATTTGTTTGCATTAAATTCTATTTTTCATGTATCTGCCCCCAGCCACAGGATCAGGTAAGGACAGGCCTTTATTAAGTCTGTCACACTGGCAATTCCCAATCCTATCCTGTACCATACTATCTTGTACCATATTAACAACAATATCCTAGACATTCAAGTGAGTGTTTACTCTTGCTGTTTCTTGATTGTTTATAATGAAGCAACATTGAACCATCTCTGAGATGATTCAATGTTGCTTAGTATAGCTTTATTTTCAATACGCTTTCAAATGTGGCTAGAGGTTGTTTATTAAGAGGCTAAAATTACTTGTCTTCTAAAAATCTCACTTGGTTCAACATGGTGGTATGCTGTTCCTGTAACAACTTGATTTCTGTTGCTAATGATCTAAATCAGTCATGATGTTGTCTTGTTAATGTTGTATGATCTCCTTAACCTAGACTATTTCACATCAAAACGATTTGATTGCACATTGATATTAATTTAATTTTTAGATAGGAGAGTTACCACCCTGAATAAAAGTGAATTACCTCTAATTAGAACAGGTTAGGATTTTTTGTGATTTGGTGAAGGCAACTTATCTAAGGAAAATTCTAATATAAAGTCTAATTTTTAAACTTGATAATTTTCTTTGTTAATCTGTATTGTGAGTATTACAATACAAATAATCTTATTTGCAAAACCTCAGCAAGAGAATGCAGTTGTAAAAAGTTCTATAAAGTCATACTTAAATAAATTAATGGCATTATTTACTATGGAATTAACTCTTCTGTAATCCCATAACTGAACTCTTCTGTAATCCCATAACTGAGCTCTTCTGTAAAACCATATTAAAATAAATAATTTATTATATATAATAAATGTATGCCTAATGTATTTTAATGTATTTTTATATATTATATACAGAGAATATTAAAATCTGATATTTTATTAATAAATTTTTTATAGTAGTATTTTATGAAATATATATATATATATATATATATATATATATATATATATATATATATATATATATATATATATATATATATATATATATATATATATATATATATGTATATATATATATATATATATATATATATATATATTATATTTTATATATTATATACAGAGTATTTAAAATCTGATATTTTAATAATAAATTTTTTATAGTATATTTGTATGTATATGATTTTTTTATTGTAGATTTTATTTGGTTCCAGGTTCTAGCAGACTCCACAGTTATACAATATCAAACAGGAACTCGTTTTTCTCCAGATGTTTTTCCTCTGTTTAATACTGACAGACAACAACCGCAGCAAGCAGTTTCGTCTCAGAATGGTGTCCTATTTTATTCACAATATTTAGCAAATGCTAAAAAACAAGTTGTTGCTACAGATCAGCTTCGAAATATGTTAAGCGAGTTTGCTGATAGTCTTGTCTAGACTTTCCTAGATATGAACAAAGTAGAATGTGTTCTTGAATCGAATATTTTGCTAGATATGAACCAAGTAGAACGTGTTCTTTAACTGAATATTTTGCTAGATATGAACGTGTTCTTGAACTGAATATTTTGCTAGATATGAACGTGTTCTTGAACTGAATATTTTGCTAGATATGAACGTGTTCTTGAACTGAATATTTTGCTAGATATGAGCAAAGTAGAACATGTTCTTGAATTAAATATTTTGCTAGATGTGAACCAATTAAAGTGTGTTCTTAAATTGAATATTTTGCTAGATATGAACAAAGTGTTTTAGAATGTGTTTTTGAATATTACTTTAAAATATTTCAATCTTTTTCAGAACTCAAGATAAATAGTAATAATTTTTTGTATTTGAATAATTATTTTGATACATTTTAAATTAATTAATTGTAGTTTAGATTTATTTAAGTTATTGCTATTATATATATATATATATATATATATATATATATATATATATATATATATATATATATATATCAGGGACTATTCTAGACCGTTTTCGACAGCGTCGTTCGTATATGGGCGCCGCCCAAAATAAAATTTGAGAAGCTTTTTTTTTTCTTTTTACGTTTTTTATGGCAAATATTGTTTTTTTCGCGAAAAAAACGCCGATTTTAGCTTAAGTTTGCCGAAACGAGGGGTATCCCTCGTTTCGGCAAACTTTAGCTAAAAACCCCTAACCCTAACCCTAACCCTTTTGTTTCTGAGGCAAGTGTGCTATATATATATATATATATATATATATATATATATATATATATATATATATATATATATATATATATATATATATATATATATATATATATATATATATATATATATATATAAATATATATATATATATATATTAAAATATTTGTGAATTAGAATCACAATGTTTATTTGTATCTTGCGTAATACCCCAAGATTCTCTATGATAAGACTTCTGTCTTCTACGAAGTCCCTATAACAATATAATCTATCTTAACAAGTCCTTCATAATATATTCAACTGATAACAGACTTCCTAAATTTAAAATTATTATTATTATTTTTTTCTTTTTTAACTATAGTTTCTTTTTTAACTATATATATATATATATATATATATATATATATATATATATATATATATATATATATATATATATATATATATATATATATATATATATATATATACATATATATATATATATATATATATATATATATATACATATATATATATATATATATATATATATATATATATATATATATATATATATATATATATATATATATATGTATTGAGGTTCATCAAATCCCTTGTCTCGAAATGTTTTCTGAAGCTTGGCTACAACTGCATTCTTGCGACCAGTATTTACAGCTGTTGTGTCAGAGATGATCATCTGAATACTGTTCCATGCATTGTAATCATCAAGTAGGTCCTGTAGTGGTTTATATATGCTTGCAGATGATCCACTGTCACAAACCAATATGCCAAGTTGTAATGTTCTTTTGTCATTTTTCAAGCACACGCCAGACTCCAGACTGTGATGGTGTTGGGACACAAACTCCATCCTCAGCCAGACTTTGAAGCACCCGTGACGTTTTTCTGGTTGACAAAGAGTGACTAGACACTAGTTTGGCAGCAGACTTAGTTGACTGGCGTGTTGCACGTTTTCTGCGAGATTCTCCTGGAACTGCCTCCGAGTCACCACTGCTGCTTCCTTCCTCAGAATCCTCACTATCGCAGGAAAGTGGTACGGAGATAACCGCTTGGTTTGTCGAGGGTTCTGATGTGCTTTTGGTTCTTTTTGATGGATGGATTGTTGACATAGGAGCCACTTTCATAGTTGTATATCTCACCCTGTCATCTGATTCAATTTGTACTTTGTACAGTTGTTTGTCCTCACTACAAAGCCAATTTCCATCTGGTTTTGTTAAATCGAACAGATGAGCAAGATTTTCTTCAAATACTGCATTTGGTCGCTTTCTGTGTTTCTCAAATGATATGATAAGTTTGTAAACATTAGCAGACACTTGTTGTTTGGAAAGAACAGGAGAATTAAACTGCCAAAAGATTCATCAATTCCTTGGATATTTTTGTTAGTCGATCATGTCGTCCTTTCAATTCATTAAAGAGTCCCAAGAATCTTCCAACGATATCTCTGTTGGAAGGCATTTTACACAATTTGTCGCTCATATCCTGTTTTACTTGTGGTATATTAGGACGGCGCTTCGTGCTTGATTTCAAATCTTGTGTCCATATTTCACCAGCTGCTTCCACTGCTGATTTTGACTTTTTACTTTTAAAGGACATATTTTTAAAAAGAAGCACTAAAAAGCAGATCTTGCAAATTAATACTGCAAATAATCAGAAAAAACTTTTTAAATACTTCTACTCAGTATTTTAATCGCGCGAACTTTAAAAAATACTCAACAACAAACAACAACAAACGCGCATTAATTTGAAAAACAGTCGTTAAAATTTGTTATTCAAAATTGAGTTACATAACATAAAAACAATTTAAAACTATCAAACTTTTTCATTCTATGTTAATTACCTTTTTAAACTGTTTGACGCTCTCCAACTCGTAGTTATATTCAAGCATAAGGAAGTAAGAACTGCGAACAAAATCAAGTGAAAAATCGAAAAAGTTAAAAGTGGTAAGGTGCTAGGTGCGGGAGGTTTTTTTTGTGATCCAATGAAATAAACCTCAAAACAGTGATCTATTGGTAAAAGTTCATCAAATGCAACATCAGGAAAATTAAAATTTTGAAAAAATTTGTTTTGTCATATACCTAATCCCCATCCTAAAACCCGAGAGCAAAAACTCACCAAAACACAAGTTAATGGGTTCTTGGTCTTAAATTTTATATTTGTAATTATTTTATTCATAAATTAATTTTCATTCACACTCAAGATTTGATGCTGCTTAAAAATTGTTCTAAAAATAAAAAGTTAATGAATGAGAATTTATTTTAATTTTAGCAGTAATATTCAAACTTAAAGGCTTAAAACAAAGTTTTTTAACAATTTAGTCATCAGTAATCGTGCATTTTGACCTTAATGTATGTAAATTCGTACAAGCATTTTTGCTTTTTCTTTTCCTACAAGATTCCTCAATTTGTTCTAAATAATGCTAAATGATGAGAAAATTTTAGTCTTTTAATGGACTAGCTGGACTAATGTGCGACTGTCGTTATAATCTTGCAAAACTTGCAGATAATTTGGAAAACTTTTCTTTATTTCTATAACTCTCCACCAATTTGTTCCTGATTTTGTGCTTTTTACACTATCATTAAATAAATATGTTGGGTAACAAATTTTTTTTTAGTTTAAATGTTTAGTAGCCCGGCATAAATTCAGGATAGCCTTCATTTAACCTTATTTTATTCCTTATTTATTCCTTAGCTTCTTTTTCTTGACTTCTATTCAATGTTTTTTTTTAAGTAAATAATTTATAAGAGTAGTTAACTTAAAAGAAAATTTTTTATCTGTATTTATTTTAATTTGATCAAATGCAAGTTTTTAAATTTTTTTACAAATAACCAGTTACTTTTATGATTTTTAGTTGTATTTTGGATCTGTTAAAATGGCCAGAAAATGATATGAAACCATTGCTTTTTGAAAACTTCTTTAAAATATCTATTTACAAAAAACGTTTGATACCGTTAATCATAACATTTTGATTTATAAATTAGAACACAATGATATTCGTGATGTTCTAAATGACTGGTTTCCATGTTATCTTACAGATCGGAAACAATTTGTATTAATGGTTATAATTCTACTAATAAATCTGTTGTGTGCGGTGTTCCTCAAGATTCTGTTCTTGGTCCTCTTTTGTTCTTAATTTATATTAATGACATAAATAACTCTATTCGCTTTCCTCAAATCATGATGACACAAACCTATTGCAAACTAAAAATCCCAACCTTTCCAGCGCTTGTAAAATATGTAGAATCTTCTTTTTGTTTTTGACTCTCTTAATAAAAATCTACTCTCGTGTACAACAGACTTTTTTTACAGAAAATAAAATAATACATACATATTCTACTAGAAACATATATAATGGGAAACTTAATATACCAGCGTTTACAACTCAAAAGTATGGTAAACATTCTGTTGTCTATCAGTGCATTTGTGAATGGAACAAGAGTCTTGTATGCATAGTGAATGAGTTCAAAAACCTACAACTTCAAACACCTTTATCTTTTCTTAATCTTACACAAAACAAATTTAAAAAAAATTCTGAAAACAACTTTGAAACAATTTTGTTTTAACTTATTGATATGATTTTCACTTAATTCTTAAAATATTCTCTTAACTATAACTATTATCATTAAATTCCTTTTTGTTTATTTTTTTATTATTATCATCAAAGTATGGTTTTTTAAAACTTTACTTATTTATATATGTTCTATGTGTGTACACTTATTATTAATCATATTATATTTAAAAACTGGTGTCACTCCTTTGATCAGAATTTTGTTTGAGTGACACCATCCTTATCAATCATTTAGTTATTATTATTAAATATTTATAATTAATTTCCGCATTATTATTTTAATTTATATTATTATTATTTTATATATATGTATATTAGGGTGGTTTTTTTTTTGAATTTAATATCGCAAACCCCTTATTTGAGTGGTCCCCCGCACCTGCTTTGTAAGCCCTTTAGAACCCCGTTTTTGTCCAAAATGATATATTTCTAAAATGTATTAAAATCAATAAGTATCAGTGTTATACACATCAGTTTCATTTATTAAAATGTATATAGCAATGACCTAATACCAGACTCTACCCTAGAAACACGAGGTTCCGGACCTGTTTTTAAAGCTCTTTTGTGATCCATTATTGTCTAAAATAATATATTTCTGAAATCTATTAAAATCAGCTTGTATTAGTGTTACATACATCAGTTTTACTTATTAGGGTGATAACAAAAAAAGAATGTATCTAGCAGTGACAAATTCCAAGACCCCACCCTCAGGGCGCTAGGACTCGGACATGTTTTTTAAGTCCTTTTAAGGCCCGCTTTTGCTGAAAATGATAATTTTCTGAAATGCATTAGAATAGTCTATTGCCAGTGCGACATTCAATAATTTTGCTTATTAGGGTGAAGACAAGTTAAAAAGATTCTTATTTTTTAACATTTTTCCAGTTTTTTTAATTGTGAGTACTAGTGGCTCATACGCCCCTCTACCAGTGATTTCTAATTCAGGCCTAATTAAAATTTATAAATTAAAAAATAACAAAAAATAATATACTCAAACACGTGGTTGAGTGTCCTT